TCATTTCGATTCGCCACGTCATTGCGAGCATTACGCTGGGACTCCGCATGAGACGCGCGTGCGAGAATTGCGGAAGCTGCGCCTCGGGTGGCGGCGCGCCCGTATACGGAGGAGATGGCACAAGCATTACGCGCAGCCAACATTGCCCAAGACATCCTCGACCTCATCCCGACAGTGGTGAACAGTTGTAGGGATCGCCGTAAAATGCAGCCACCAGCGCACCAAACCATCCCTAGACTCCGCCTCTCAACAAGATTCAGCCAGCACGTCGTGCGCGACATCCTTTTCAAAAGGTCGCAGGATCACGCGCTTGATTTGCTGTGCCTCACGGTGGCGCAACGGGCAGGATATCGAATCAAAACATGATTCGACGCGGCTTGCTGCCATCGGCCGATCGTGGATCCAGCTGTTCGGCGCAATGGAGATGTTCATCATGGACGGCAAGGGCGGCATAACCACGCCGCACAGCATGGAGGAGAAGAGGAGGCGAGGAGCCCAGGTGGACATCAGAGCTCCTCGACAGCACTCCCGTTTCATCGAACGACGTGGGGCCATTTTACGGCATGTCCTTCACATCGCAGAGGAGCAGGTAAAGCGCGCATGTCACAGCCAATTTCGACTCGATGTTTGCTCGCGCAAAAGTTGCAGGCAACAGCCTCATCCACGTTGGCGGCGTTGCGCCATGCAACGTCGTCTTCGGAAGGCAGCCGCCCGTGCTGCCACCTGTAGAAGCAGACGAAGCGGGCGATGCATCCGGTGACTGCGTTGCCGGCACCGGCCCTTCCGCTGGCGGGGGGGCGCAGCCCTGCCGATTGCAGCGGCGAGCCCGAGAAATCGCATTGCAACGCGTGGTCGAGGCCACATCCATCTCCCGCGTCAACCACGCCCTCCAGAGACACACCGCGGAGTCTGGAGAGGGTCGCTTCAACGCTGGCGACCAGGTGGAGACCCCCCGCGCGTCAGGCTGGGCGGGCCCTGGGACCTGGGACCGTCATGTCTGTCGACCCTGCTTGAGGCAAGGTGGCGCGGCGGTCAAGTACGGCCGAGCCGACGCGGCGCGCAGGCTGCAGGACGCGCGGCCCCTCATAGGCGCCGTCTTCGACGGCATGGGCACCGGTCTGGCGCGAGCTGGCCTGGCCTGGGGCCGAGTGGAGGACCTCCTGGAGCAAATCATACCGGGATTGGGCACTGGGACCTTCGGCCATTGGGCGGACGCGAGAGGCGCACAGATCACCGCGCAGGCGCGGCAACGCCGAGACATCCTCGGAGCCTTGCGCCACGTATCCCGCTGATGTTTTTTCTGCAGATGTCCGTGCCGTACGTCTGCTACCTGGCCAGAAATTGGTGGTCGATTTGCCAGGCTGCACCCGCGGCCTAGTCACATGGTGGGCCCCTCAGCGCCCAGGCGATATTCAACATATTCACCTCGACGGCGTCAGGTCCGATCCCCATGCGCTCAGTGGCGAGCAGTGGAAGGGCGCTCGCGTCACCCTGTTCTCCTGGCGCGACGAGACGCTTATGGCAGCGGACACGGGACGAGATCCAGATGGTGCGCTGGATGACTATTCCAGCGGATGCTGCCAGCACCTATGAGGGGTAATCCCCGTCAGCGTTGTCGGCTATGCCAGGGGAGACTGCCAGGTGATGTTGAAAGTTTGGTGCGGAGTCGAAGGGGCAGGAGGTCTGGCCCAGGAGCTGGAGCAGGTGCTGAGCGACGACAGACAGCAGATGACCTGCGCTGCCGTCGAGCACGCCGCGGCCGGACTTGGCCGCTGGCCACCCGAGTGGCTGCGGCGCCTCGAGGCGCAGCACCAGCGACAGGGCATCTACGCGCAGCGCTACCATTGCCTGCGCGGTGCTGCTTAGGACGACTGCGCCACGCTGGAGGAGGAGGACGAAGGAGGAATACATGTGGAGCTGCACCTCGACCCAGGGGCGCGCGAAGCATTCCTGAGATTCAACGAGGAAGCGCGCAGCAACGAGGTTGTCGGCGATTCCCGGACAGCCGCGCATAACGCGCAAGCCAACGACAAGACCGCCGTCGCCTAGCGCGACGCCGATCTCCTGGCCAAGGATGAAGTGCCCAGGCCGTCGAAGGGACGCGGCAGCAGCCATCCTCGAGAAGCTCGACTCATGGGTCGAGTAGAGTTGTTTCGAGAGGCGGCCGTTCAAGGGCACCCGACACGCCATGGACTCAAAGCGCGTCTTCAATTGGAAGCGCCAGAAGGGGCCCGACGGCAAAACCGCGAGGATCATTTGGCGCCGCATTGCGCTAGGGGCTTCTGCGACTTGGGCCCCATTGCCCTGGAGACGTTCGCCGGGGCGAAGGCCGCGGGTGGCTTGGATTGGGTCTACGTCGCCGCGGACGTCGAGAAGGCCTTCCTGCGGGGCGGGACCTATGCCGAGATGCAGGACCAGGGCGAATACCACGCGAGGTGAACTTGACCCTGCCGCGCGGCAGCGCAGCCATCGAGCACACATCGAGCCTTTTACGAGGCTTTTACGAGGCTCCCCCGGGCCACGCGCTCACCCGATGGCGTCGACAGACCTATCGGGTGGGGCCCGGAGCTCGAGGTCAACGCGTCTGGCGACTGCGTCGCCGGCGACTCGGAGCTAGTGCTCGCGCTGCCCAAGCACGTGGGCGATTTAAACATAGCTGGACACAAGGAACACGTCGATCGGCTTGTCGGCCACATCGAGAGCGTCTTCGGCCAGATGAAGGGCGATTGCGACGACTTCACCAACTCCGGGGCTCATCAACGCCAGAGCGCCGACGGCGCCGCGGCGCTCGACCAGGACGAGTACATCGACGCCCTCATACCGATCAGGCACGTTGACCTGGCCGAGGCGAAGGTCAAGAGCAAGCTGGAGGTCAGCTTCTGGACCTCTGCCTACCTGCTGGGGGCAGCAGTTGACGCCATGCTCACTCAGCACCGCATCGCCGCGTACATTGCGGCACTGCAGAGGGCCGATAGCAAGCTGCTCATGCGCCGCGCGATGCTGCTCAACTCTGTCGTCTTGGCCACGCAGAAGATCAAGGCGCGCGTCGCCTCTTCTGCCGTGGAATGCGCCGGCCAGCTCTTCGCGCACAGCGACGGGCCCGTCAAGAGGGAGGAGGAGACAGGATACGGCACGGGAGGTGCCGTCTACATTTTCCCTGGCAGGTGTCGCAACACCAGCGAGGGGGTCTGCCACTTGTTCGACGCAGTAAGCCGATCGCGTAAGATCGCGCGCTGATCGCCACGCTAGCAGCCTGCGGCGCAGCCGACGGGTTGCAAGCCCACCTTCTGGCCCTCCACAAAATGGTCCGTCGACCAGTCTCAGCCGACGAGATCAGGGAGCTGAGAGACGAGGGAGGTTTCGATGTACCATCGAACCTTGTCGTGGACGGCATGTCCGTCTTAGCGGCGTTGGCCATGGATGCTGTTCGTCCACCGCCCGGGAATAGCGTGACCGGCCATCGAAGGTGTTTGTCAGACAAGTCCCGCACCAAGCAGAAAGAGGAAATGCTCTGGTGCGACACTCGTGACGCGCGGGCCGACCCCATGACCGAGGGGAGTATCGGCCCAGAGTTAATCCTGGATATCATGAGTGTCCATATCAGCTATGATCACAGCACCGTCAAGAAGCTGAGCGAGGAGCGGCACAAGGAGGTCGTGCCCAGCCCACAACATAGCATCCGAACCATCAAGGAGGAATGCGATGCGAATGATAGAATCATCCGGAACTCACATCTCACGGACTATATTCGCGAATGCGACGTCCGTATGGCAGATCATAAAGGGGTATATACAAAGAACGAGACGTGCCAGGACGCGGGCTGTTTCCGCGGACTACGTTCGTGGTGCAGCAGGCGAGAGGAAGTTGAGCACGCACGTGAGCGAAAGCTGCTCCATCTAATTGTCTGCTGCCATACAATGATGTTTATGAGGCTTCGATGGTTGGCACATGGCCTGCATGTGCTGACCGACGAGGCACAGGCGGACCCGCTTGACCACCAGATTCGAACGGTACCTACCGCATGCTTCCCCTTCTTGATTGTCTCCTCTTTTCGCTGCAATTGGGTTCTGGGGCACGGGATGTGGTCAACCTTCCGTGTTTGGTTGACATCCGTATGTCGCGGGCACTTCTTTCACATCGGAACACATCTTCGCATCCACATATATTGGTATAGTAGTTTGTTGCTGCTCCCCCTCGTCAGCAGCAGCATCAGCAGCACCATCACCAAAGCAACGTTCATCAGTTTCATCCCAATCATGATTATTCGCACTACCATTGTCATTCCCCTTATCAGGTCCATAATACATATCATCACCAGCACCGTTAACATTATCGTCATCATCGTTCGCATTACCGTTATCATCGTCACCACCATCATCATCATCACCATCATCACCACCACCATCATCACCATCATCATATTCATCTTCCTCATCAATATCATCATATTGCCCCCTCTCTTCTCCATTATCTTCACGTTTCTGTCCTCCTTCCTCCTCATGTTCCTTCCCTCCTCCTACTCCTCCTCGTTCTCATCCTCCTCCTCCTCTTCCCTCTCCTCTTCCTTCTCCTCCTCCTTCTCCGCCTCGTCCTCCTCACATACTCATTGGCGCGCTTCTTGTCAGTGCATCCGATGCTTGGCCGATCAGCGTGTGCAGTGGTGTGGAGCTCGGAGCTCGATGTGTTGCGGCCGAGTAGCGATGGGGAGGGGGATATGTGGAAGGAACAGGAGGAGGAGGAGGAGGAGGAGGAGGAGAAGCAGGAGGAGGAGGTCAGGTCAGGTCAGGCATTCCTCGAAAGCTTCACGTGAGAAGGCTACCGCGGGGTGAGGCACATGAGGAGGAGGAGGACGAGGAGGAGGAAGAGGAGGAGGAGGAGGAGGAGGAAGAGGAGGGTGGAGGAAGGAGGAGGAGGAGCGAGGAGGCGGAGGCGGAGGACGAGGACGAGGACGAGGACGAGGAGGAGGAGGAGGCGGTGTGCTGGCCCACGCCGTGGCCGTCTTGGCTCGAGGCACGTTGCTTGCGCCTCCCCTGCGCCCTGCCGAGTCGCGCGGCCTCCGGCATTGATGGCGGCGGCCTTCGCCGACCACGGAGAGTCGATCTTCGATGGGTTTATCCCTCGGGAGAGCAAGAATTTCTCGTCTTCGCCTCCCCCCCTCATCTTTTCCCCCCTCTTCCCTCTCCGGTCCTCTCTCCTCCTATCTTTTCCCCCCTCTTCCCTCTCCGGTCCTCTCTCCTTCCCTCCCTTCTTCTCCCTCCTCCTCCCTCCTACCTTTTCCCGTTTCCTTCCGTCTTGTTTTCTTATAGTCATGACGCCAGACGTTCCAAGACTTCTAAGGGTTCCAGGATTTCCAAGGTCTCCTGATGTTCCGCATGGGCTGCACAAACGAGGGCCATTGGCCACTTCAGAATTCCTGGGACGTATCACGAGCCAATCGTATCATGACATCGTGTCCCCTCCTCCTTTTCTTCCTCATCCTCCTCCCCCTTACTTTTGTTAGAAAGGCTCAGGATAAGCCCGTCGACGTCTACCAGCTCGTGCCGCCACCGGCTCCTGTCAAGCAGAGGCCCCGGAAGTACGTGTCCCAGCACGATCCGAAGCTGCCTCCCACAGCCTCAACATTCGTACCTAGTGGCGCGACGGAGGAACGAAAGAGGAACGGACGGAGCGAGGGAGGGCGGGAGGCAGGGGTGAGGGAGGTAAGGGAGGACGGATGGAGGGGGATGAGCAGGGGCGGCCGCGAACCAGTCGGTTCGGTTGCGTCGGTGTCGGTTGGAGTCGATCGGTTCGGTCGGTTCGGTTGTTGCGGAGTCCCTGAGTCGTCGCGTCCTTTTCGGATACTTCGGTTGATTCGGTTTCGCCTCGGGCGCCTCGCGGGCGTTTCGTACCGGCCCAGGGGATCGAATCCACCAGTTTCCAATTCGGCTTCGCTGCCCACGGATTCGCGCCGATCCGACTCCGATTAGCTTTTCCCGTTGAAGTGAAAAGGAGGAGGGGGAGGAGGAGGATGAGGAGGAGGAGCAGCAGCAGCAGCAGCTGTGAATCGTACTCCATACGATGTGTTTTGGAGAGATATCAGTATCTTGTTTATTTTGTTCCCTCCCCTCCCCCGGCCCAGCAGACAAGCATGTGCAGTAGCAGACAACAGTATTGTAGTTATATGTTTCTGACGCTGTACTGGCTCCATGCAGTTCGAGAGGCCTCTCGCACTTGGCAGAAAGGAGCGCTTTCTCCCCCCGGGCTCGCAGGGCGATAGTTCGGGAGGAGGTCGAACGACGATTGGGCAGAGTATCGCAATCAGTTGCGAGCTGGCACGAAGACTTCGAGCGATTCGACCGATTGGCATAGGTAGCGGAGTCACGGCTCCACGGACACGTACACGTGTACACCGACGACATGAGACCGCCAGCAAATTGCAAAGGACCAAGGAGCAATGACGACGGTGACAGATTTCATAACGCTGGACGGGCACCCGACTTCGATGGTTCCCTGGAGAACTAGAAGGCCGTCAGGAAGAAGGAGGAGATTTACGCAGCGCTAACCCGAGGCAAAGAAGTAGAGAAGTTTGTCGTTTTCGAGATCATGCAAGGCCTGTGGGGCCGAGCATGGTCTGCTGTGGAGGACATGAATGTCGCCGATATCGACGATATCGAGGTGGGCAAGGCTGGATCGCTCGTGCAAGTACGATGAAATGACGGAGCTGCCGACGGATTTCGAGAGCTCCTTCTTCCGCGTGGATCGGAAGCCGAAGGAGACCTCGATGGACTACTTAAGGAGATTCTGCATGGTGGAGAGGAGTATCAGGACGCACAACATTACACTCCCCGACCCTGTGCTGGGTTCCTCCTTCGCCGAGCCGAGGTGGACAAGGAAGGGAAGCAGCCCGTCATGAACCGGATCGGCGACAAGATTACCATCGACAAAGTCGAGGGCCAGCTGAAGACGACGTTCGGTGTGGATTCAATATCGTCAAGTCGTGGAAGTTATGGAGCAAGCTGTAGCGCACAACATGGGCGAGGGCAATGACGAGGACGACGACCAGGACGACTCGCACTACGGAGAGGAGGACGATGACTAAAGTTACTGCGACGGCAGAGGGGACCAACATATGGAGCTCGGAGATGCCAGCGGCTTCGACAGCGAAGCTTGCTGCTACAGCGGCACGGCATGCGCGCCCAACCCCGATCAAGCGGCCTACAGCGTGGACGAGCAAGACGAGATCATGGCCACATATACTGACGCCCGCAACAAGATGAATGACATGAGGTTGGCCAGAGGCTTCTATCCAGGCATGGCCGTGGTCCAGGCGCCCACGCCACCAGCGAGGAATACTGCGCCGATCATTCCAAGAGGCGGCGGCCGCTCGCGCGGCAGAGGCAAGCCAAGCAAAGGCAAGACACTGAAAGGCATAGGCAAGACGGGCTACCCGAAAGGGGCACGACCAGGATTTCCAGGAAGCGGACCGCCAAAGGCCACCGAAGAGACGATACGCCTGAGGTGTGGTGAGCGAGGACACCTCGCTCGAGACTGCCCCCCTCAGAGCTGGAAGCGAGCTCGCGTGTCCGAAGACGCCGCGCGCGCGAGGATGACCGCCGACATGGTGCCCGAGCAAATCCACAGCGCAGACGACCAGGACCCAACCGAGGCTACACGCGACAGCGGAGCTACCAGCGCGACCGTTGGAGACGATATTCAGAGCGAATTGTCAGAGGCTTGTCGCGAGGGGTGAAGATTATGATGTCTTTTCCCTTGTGCTAGGAGTTTCAGATTTGGCGACGATGCTACTGGCGAGTCGACGGCGGTCGCGGCGGTGCCTTCGCTGTCAGCGGGCAGGTCCATCGAGATCTTGACGCGCATTATCCCTGGCCGCGCGCCCTTCCTGCACGCCGGACCTATCGTGGACGAGCTCAGCATGGTCACGGACTACAGGAACAAGAGAGCATGCTGGGGCGGCGACGGCGCATGGCTTCCAGCGCGCCAGCCGCCACAGAGGGGACACTACGTAGTGGACATGCTGGAGAGCTACGATGCGCGAGTGAATGACCAAGCCGACCAGGCGCTCCCACCGCGGAATGTGCTGGGTCACGCTCGCGCGCGGCACCCGATCAGCCTCTGCGAGTTTCTCAGAAGACGCGCTGCCATGCGAAGATTATCTTTACCACGTTGGCGCCATGGTCGAAATCAGCAAGACCGAAGACAAGGGCGAGGACGTCAGCCGAACCAAAGACCTCAGCAGCAAGCAGCTTCGACGGTGCCAAGAAGCAGCTCAGACTGGGCGAATGACATGCAGCGTGGCCAGCGGAAAGTTCGGAAGGTCTACTGCGGCCTATCGGGGCTGACAGCAGATTTATCCCGACGAGATTTCCAGACCAGAACGCTCGAATTGAACAGTGGATGGTATTTTAGTGGCATAGATACGCAGAAGAAGGTTACGTGGATGCTTGAGCAGGAGGAGCCAGACGACCTCCGGGTGAGTCCAGAGTGCGGGCTGTGATCAACGACGCAGGAGATCCGCTGCAAGACCGCAGAGAATCGCGCGCGTTTGAAGTCCCACTGGAAAAAAAAACATCATGACGCGCGCCCGATGTTCCGCAGGAAGATCTACCTCGCGCAGCGGGGGGCAGGTCGGGAGGCGCATGTGGAGCAGTCTGCGACAGCCAGAAGCTGGATGACGAAGGTTCTTCACAATCTGCCAGGGCGCCACGTGCTGCTCTACCGGCGCACGACCAGTTTGGAGACGCAAGGAGAAGGGCCCGCTCGCGAGAGGATCGGAGGGCGATAGAGGGGGTCCGCGACAGGGGATCTGCGATGGGGGTTGAGTGGCCCATGTATGCTCAATATATCGTTCATGTATATGACCCGGCTTGATTGACATCCAATGTTGGCGGTCATAAGGGCCAGTCGTTCGCGCCCGCGCGGGCATGCGCGCCGCCCACCCATCGCCGTTCATGCGCGCGGGCGTTCTTGCATATCGCGCGCGGGGCGGCGAAGCGGATCGCAAGTGCGTCTTGATTGTGCGATTGATGATCGCGCGCGTTTCCAAACGATTTCTCGTTGACCCCTAAGGCAGATTTGGAACCGACCCCGCCGTTTTCCCAATTTTTAATCGTGTGTCTGTTTCCCCAGATGCGAATTCTTTTTCCCAAAGTGCGCATTCGCATTCTGCCCCCCCCCCCCCATGAAGAATCACATGCTAAATTCCAAAATGTGGGTTCGCATGTTCCCTGCCCCCAAACTGCGAATCCGCATTTTCCTTTTCCCCAAAGTGTGAATTCGCATTTTGGCTTGGCTTTCAAGATCTCCAGATTTGAGGCGCAGCGCCCCGCGTGTCAGATTGGCTGGGCAGATTTGGACACTCACCTCGCCGTCTTTGATTGATTCCAACCTTTTGTCATTGTGCCCTGCCTTCGTCGCCACTCCCCAGCCCCCCGCCCCCTCGCCTCATTCGCCCTCAAGTCTCGCACAGGGGCGCAGGCGAGGAGCTTCAATCGGCCCTCCCGCCGGGCACGGCAATCGAGGACGCATCGCAAATGCGCGGCCCATGGGACCACCATTGCTTGGGCCCTGCGCCCGACCCCCGCATTCAATCTCCAAGAGAACCGGAGTCCGAAACACGAAGCGACACGTTGCTGAAGGTTTGCAAGAGCACCAGCGCGACAAGAGTCACGACCACGCGCAGCTCGAGGGCAGGATGCCAGACACCAACATGCACGGGACCAAGTTTGTGGATAACTCAAGCATCGAGTTGGCCGAGATCTTGGGCGACCTGCTAAGCAAGACGAATGCGCGTGACACAGCCTTCCCAGCGCTGGGACTCGAAGACGACGAGGGCCCTGTGCACCACATCTACCACACCACGGCGAGCCTCCACGACGAGAACACGAAGGACATCTACGCCGACCGTCTCATCAAGAGCGAGTTCGGCCAGAACGTGTTGAGGCATGTGGAGCGGCTCCACGAACCTCGGCCACCTCGGCACGGAGACCTTCGCGCGAATGCTGACGACGGCTGGCGCGCGCAAGGAGGTCATCCAGCGTGCCCGGCGCTATGCGTGCCCGGTCTGCGCCGAGCACCGCTAGGCGTCGCGACCGCTCGAGGCGGCGCCGACGACCTGGCAGACTTCCAACCGAGCACTGTACTTGGATTTGTTCGAGTTCAAGCTGCGCACAGGATCGGCAAAGACTGCGCGCGAGATGGGCGGATACTGCCGATTCCAGAAGGGCCGCATCGTGGCTCGTGAGACGACCAGCGAGGCCATCAGGTCCATCGAGAAGGCACGCCCAAGACGCTCGTCATGGACGAGCGCGGAGCAGCGCGCAGCCGGGAGATGCTCGACAGCAGGTCGGGCGCGAATCGGACGAGCATGGGAATGGGCCTGCGTTAATCTGGACCAGAAAAGATCACGGTGCATCACCCCCCGCGCTTCCAGGAAAATCAGGGCCAAAATGGAGCGCGTGCCTGCGCAGAGTCACTCGCGACTTGGACACCGGCCAGCTACTCGAGGACAGGGGGTTAGTTAAATAGGGGAAAGGAGCGGAGGAGAGACTCCAGACGAGAAGCTTGCAACGCAGCCACTGAATTCGCTTGCCGCGTTGCCCGGGACATCCGACCTCTCCAGTGGATGCGCGGATCGCGTCGACACAAGGGGTGGTTGAAAACTTCAGGGGCGCGCGAGGCATGTGGGCGCATTGATGAGAGGTGACATACGCGCCGATCGTCGCGAAGATGGCCCAGTGCGCGCCTCGGGCGATGCATCGGGGAGCGAGCTCGATCCAGATCTCACGTTGAAAGCTCGGGAGGAGGAGATAGGGTAATTCAGGAAACACGAGGTCTATGAGAAAGTGAAGGAGGAGGAATGCTGGGTCGTGACCGGGCCCCCAGGCACGAGCGCACGCGCAGCCCCGCCTCCACTGGAGGCTCAGAAGCTGTCTTTCTCCATGGCAATTACTGAAGGAATAGGGCGCAAGCGATGGGGGGGCGTGAGAGAGGACTCAGGCGGGATTAATAGATGTCGAACGGGCATATTTTCATGCCAAGGCCAAGAAGAGCATCTTCATCCAGTTACCCGAAGAAGATGGTGCACTGGGCATGCGTGGAAGACTACGGGAATCAATGTACGGCAGTCGGGGCGCCGCCAGTAATTGGGAAGACTACGATCTGAGTTTTGCATGTGACATTAGCTCTGACAGCGGGAAGGCACCACCATGTGCACGTCAACAACATGGCCCCGCGGGTCTGGCGAATGGTTCATGGCGACGAGTATACTTCATTGGGTAATGTCGCGGGGGTCTTGATTGTTTCGAATGAGAAATCAAAAAGACATTCGAATTTAACTTCGGGTGCAGAGTCGGACTATGGCCAACAGATTTGAAGCCGATCAGAATCATCAATTAACTTGTCGACTGGAGACGGAACGGGTTATGGCATGAGGTGGATCAAAGGCATGCTGGGATATTTGCTTGCAAAGCGAGATGGGGAATGCCAGATGAAAATTAGCATTGCGGAGAAGGCGCGGCGCGGTGGCGGGGAGGGGTCTTACCAATTCGCGAAGTTAGGGGATGCCGACCTTTAGTGGCTCGAGCCAAGTATCTTGCACAGGGCCATCCTGACACGCAGTCCTCAATTCAGGAGCTTGCGCGCTCGATTTCAGCTCCGACCCGAGGGGCAGGAGAAAGCGTCGCGAAGCTGGGCAAGTATCTTCAGCACCACGACAGGCGTTGAGATCAGCTCGTGCACCAGGAGCGCTCCCAGGAGTTCACGGAGTGGACCGACACTGGCTATGCTGGATGTAAGAGGACGTTCAAATCAACCAGAGGAGGAACAGTTATGTGGGGAGTAAAACTGATAAGTCGCGGAGATCGGCTCCGAGCGCAGTGGCGTCATCGTCTGGAGATGCACAGTAGTATGGAATAGTGAAGGGTAGAGCAGTAGCTTTGGGACTACAGCGGGCTCTCGATGATTTCGTCGTTGATTGCATCATTGCGTCAGAGAGCGACGATAGCGCGGGCGTTGCCACTGCGAGCTGGGGAGGACAAGGACAAGTCAGACACATCGAGGCGCGTCAGCTTCGGTTCCAAGAGAAGGTGCGACGAGGAGACATCAAAGTGACCAAAGTAGGAACGAGTGAGAATCTTGCTGGTGCTTTAACCAAGTTGGTCAGCAGGGAATATATGTCCGTGCGCGTGCGAAGTACCAACCAACACGACGGCACGAGCTGATGCCCGCTACGGAGCGATGACTCATCGCATCTCCAGGTTATATTCGCGCGCCGTTTTGGTGGAGATTGAGCTCCGGATCAGTTGAGATCCAGGTGCTCGTCTACACACACTTCAGGATGCGTCAACCATGATGCGTGATTTGTTGTTTTGCGGCAGTGAAAATTCGCCGGCCCAACGGGCCAGAGGCGTGCTAAGATCTCCGGCAACTGGTTAACAATATTGCTAATTCGCGCGCGCGGGGCGGCCCTTGGGGGGCCGCTGGCGAAAAGTACCCCGACCGCAGCTCCACCACTGCTACCCAGAGATGGTTCTCCTCCTGGGTGTGGCTTCTCAGGCCCCCCGAGCGCGCCAAGAGTGCCCCAAGAGGCCCCCAAGACTGCCCAAATGGCCCCCGAGACGCCCAAAAAGCGCTCCAAGACGCCGATGGTGACCCCAAGACGGCCCAAAAGGCCTCCAAGTGTCCTCCAAGAGGCCTCGCAAGAGGGCCCCGAGAGGCCAAAATCATATATTTTACGATGATAAGGATTTGGGCCTTGTCCCCTTTTCGGCCATCCGATGCTCCAAGACGGCCCAAGAGGCCCCCAAGAGCGCCCCAAGACGGGCCAAGAGGCTGCCAAGAGGGCCCCGAGACGGCCCCAGAGGCGCCCAAGACGGCCCAAGACGGCCCCAAGACGGCCCCAAGAGGGGGACCACGAACCGAAACCTCGCGCCTTCCGCCCCAAGAGGGCCCCAGGAGGCCCCAAGAGGCCCCAAGATGCCGCCAAGAGGCCCCCAAGAGGCCCCAGGAGGCGCCCCCGAACGGCTTCTCAAAAGACCCCAGAGGCCTCCCGAAGAAGCATCTTGACGACGACCCTGTTTGGCCCCAAGAGCATCACAAGATGCCAATGAGAGGCTTCCTCCTCCGCCCCTTCCTCTTCCTCCTCCTCCTCCTCCTCCTCCTCCTCCTCCTCCTCCTCTTCCCCTTCTCCCTCCTCCCTCTCGTCCCCGTCCTCCTCCTCTCCTTTTCATCCTCTCCTCCTCCTCCCCTCCCCTCCCCCATCCTCATTTTCTTCCTCCTCGGCGGCGCCACAATGGCCCCGGGCCCACGGCGAAGCAGTAGCGATCATGCAACATGGGCCGGCGAAGTGAGCGAAGCGATTGAATAAGTGTATCGCGTGTTAGAGAGCCTTTGCACGACTTCGCCCAAGTCATAGTCGCCTTCTTGCCTATGCCAGTTATGCTTATGCTCAAAATTACTTTACTCGCTTAGACTCGCCACAGTGCGTGTTATAGCTTCCGATTGGCTAGTATGGAGTGCTGGCTGTAATATACTTGCCGTCCGATTTCCCCCTACCCGTCGCGCTCGCCGGCCACCCTGGTCGAAGGGGGATGATAGAACATAACGTTGCGATTGGGTGAGAGGGATAGGTGCTTGTAGTTTGGCAGGGGGCGTGGCGGACGCGACTTGGTTGTGGCCGCCCAGCGTTCGTCTAGCGTCGCCGTTTGGCTCAAATGCTTCTTTCCTCCAGTGATGCAGTCCCCACCCAATTTTCAGGACGGGTCTAAATCTCACTGCCCGAAGTGTCGGCGGCCCCCGCGGGGGCCCTCTCCTCGATGTCTCTCGCCACGGCGCAGGGCCCCCCGCGGGGCGCGAGGCGCACCCCCGCGCCCCGCTCGGGGTTTCACCCTTCGCTCCCGCCCGCGTCCAGCACGCCCTCGTCCCGCGCGCCCCCCCTCCAACAAACAGAGAAGCCGGCATCGCTCGGACGTTTTTTTTTTGTTTTATATCGGCGAGGCCAGCACCAGAACATCTGGATAATTTCGGATCATCCAGACCATCTGGAGAAACAACACGCACGAAACCAAACAGTGCATTGGAGTCTGTGCTAGATGCTAGACATTCAGTGCTGTGCACTCTGTCCCCATCGGGGGCATTCCATTCCACTCCGTTCCCCCGCCCGCGCCCACCCCCTTCCGTAACCCCCTCCGTTGTGCGGCAGAGGGCGCCCTGCGCACCGCCACGCCAGGGATAGGCTCTACGGTCGAGGTTCGAGGTCGGCGGTTTTCCAGCCTCGGGACGGTGATCAGCAGCTACGCCTCGCCGAGAGCGTTCTTGGCGTGTCCAGGTCGTCCCGAACGGCCACCAGGGATCCGAGCTATGACCCCAAAATTGGGGGGCAACGTGAGGGGGGGACGCATCGGTCCCCAATGGCTGGGGCTCGCATCGACCTCCAATGCCCGACAACCAAGGGGCAACGTTGGCCAGGGCCATCTTTTGAAGAGAAAAAAGAACTGCATAGGCACAGATTTTCGGAGCTCCGCGCGGGCTTCTCGGATCTGCGCCGAGGGTCCAGAGACGATCCTCCAGGAGGTCACCCGCGGGGGCGCGAAGACAATCGCACTCCGCGCGCCGCGAAGAGAATTGCGGGGCGCGACGCATGAAGTTGGGTAGCTTGGGAACCTCATGGGCCTCGGCCACTGGCGATCGAGAACCGCCGATCGTTCAAGGCTGCACGATCCACGCGGTGCCAAGAACCAACGCCAGAGTCACCACTGCACGAACGTGTCCCGCAGGACCTCCTGGGCCGAAGAGGAACCAATGCCAGACTCGCCACGACACGAGCCTCCGCCGCACGGAGGCCCATGATGATGGCCCCCTGGCCGGGCGCGGCGGCGGTGTGCAGAGGTGCCCTCTGCACGCGCCCCTGCTCGCCGCCTCTCGCCGGCGCGAGGCACCACGGCGGGCACGGTCAGCAACGTGTCGGGCGACGCCACGACCAAGCCCGTCGCGGACCTGCCCGGCCGGACGTTCGGCAAGCCTCCAGGCGCCAGCGCGCCGGACCCGAGCAACCGCCCGCAGGGCAAGACCGCGAAGGTCCGGCCGAGTGGGGGTCGGATTAGGGAGGGAGGGAGGGAGGGAGGAGGAGGAGGAGGACCAGTGCAAACCCAAGACTAATCAACGATGTTGCAATAAACCATCCCTCCAAGTTCACTCCCCATAGGCCCCTACACGGATTTGTTTCACTGAGGGAAGTGACCCTGTGCCACGGTTCGTCGCCTCGTCGACGCCAGCAGCCGCACACCGTAGTTAAACAGTGAGATTCCTGTATCAGTGCTCGCTGGCGACGCGACCTCTGCTCGTGCTGTTCGCCATGCTGCCGCAGCTCACAGGCGGCCCGGAGGCCACGTGGTGTGGCTGCTCGGAAGGCGTGGCGGGCCTGCTCAGCCGGGCGCTGGCACCCGGGACACCCGGGCAGCGCGCGCGGCCGCAGGGAGGATGGGTATGGGTGGCGCGCCTCGCGCGCTTCAGCCGCGTGTACGCCGGGGGCGCCATCTGCCTCGGCGCCTGCCTCGGCGCGGCGGCTGCCGTCGGTGCCATCGCGGAATGCTCAGCCGGAGTGCTCGCGTCCGCGCCAGCGGAGGAGGAGGAGAAGGAGGAGGAGAAGGAGGAGAAGGAGGAGAAGGAGGAAGAGTAAGAGAACGAGGAAGATATACAATAATAATAATAATAATAATAGTAATAATAATAATAATAATCATCATAATAATAATAATAATATCACGAATACAACCGATAATAAGAATATTAATAATAGTAAGAATAGTATTAATACTCACACTCATAATAATATTAATAATCATAATAAGAATGACAATATCCCCGCCCTCAACGGAGACTCCCGTGGGTACCCCCCCGAGGTTTGGCGTCGCCGTTTCCCGCTTTCGCAGGATCTCTCGTCGCCGC